ATCAGCCTAGCTCACAGCAACCTCAAACTCCTGGGCTCAAGCCATCCTCCTGCCTCAGCCTCCCGAGTAGCTGGGACTACAGGCATGTGCCACCATGGCCGGCTAATTTTTTTCTATATATTTTTAGTTGGACAATTAATTTCTTTCTATTTTTTAGCAGAGATGGGGTCTCGCTCTTGCTCAGGCTGGTTTCGAACTCCTGGTCCTGAGGGATCCACCCGCCTCGGCCTCCCAGAGTGCTAGGATTAGAAGCGTCAGCCACCACGCCAGGCCGAAAAGGTTTTTTTTTCATGAAAAATAATTAGAGGACAAAATATTAAATATATTTTTACCATATATTTACTTTGAAATATTGACATGATACAAGGAAGAATGAGATTAGTACTCAATATTACTCCTACATCTCCCAAAATACAAATGTCTGTGGGATCACATACTTCTAGTACTTTGTTGCAGAAATAGGCGAGCATTTTGTTGTGCAACCTTAACTCTCTCAGTTGTTCTAGTTCAATGCTTACATGGATTCAATGCTTAACACTAGCTCTCTTGTCATAACTCACCTATTCCTGTGTTTCTTATTTTGATTTACTTCTTGGTTGACTGTATTTTGCCATTAAATAACTTCATGCCGGTCATGGTGGCTCAGGCCTGTAATCCCAGCACTCTGAGAGGATGAGGCAGGAGTATCTCTTGAGCCCAGAAGTTTAAGGTTGTTGTAGTGACCTACAATCGTGCCACTGCACTCTAACCTGGGCAATAAAGTGAGACCCTGTTTCAAAAATAAAGTAGGGTTCATGGATGCTAATTCCATGATTTATTTTATATTGGACAATTTCTGCCTATTTCCTTAATACTTGCAAGACCATCTGTCTGGTTATAAAAAAAAATTGTGGCAAGTTCCAGTTACTATGATGAACTTAAATGCTATGAAAAACCTCACCCTAACCAACTCAAAGTAGAAACACTGGATAAAACAGAACATACTAACAAAAATATATAAGTATGAAAAGGAAGAAAAGAAATTCCTCAGGTACCAGAACCAAAGATAGCACTCAAAGCCACTGTCCTGAAGCCTGGGCAAGAAATAAGGTCTCCAAGCATGGGGAGGATCTTAAGGCAGGGACTCCCTACATAAAGACAAAGCACTTTCTATCCCAAAATGAAAGTGACAATTCGCAGTTCCACAAGCAACTTATAAAAGTAACCTTCCTTCATCACTGCCAATAGTGCTGTATTTTATCATAAAATTCTTATTTTTAAGCTTCATATATATAAGTCTAACGTTAAAAAGCATTCTAGATTGTTTTAGTGGGAGGCTACAATTATCCAAACTGAAAAAAAAAGTTAACTATCAGAGACATTAAAAATTTTAGTCTTCAGTTTTATCAATTCTATTTCACCCATTATTAAAAAAAATTGATGCAACTCTTAACATAGCCTAAACAAATTATCATCAAAAATCATTTGGTGCCGGGCGCGGTGGCTCACGCCTGTAATCCTAGCACTCTGGGAGGCCGAGGCGGGAGGATCGCTCAAGGTCAGGAGTTCAAAACCAGCCTGAGCGAGACCCCGTCTCTACCATAAAAATAGAAAGAAATTAATTGGCCAACTAATATATATAGAAAAAATTAGCCGGGCATGGTGGCGCATGCCTGTAGTCCCAGCTACTCGGGAGGCTGAGGCAGGAGGATCACTTGAGCCCAGGAGTTTGAGGTTGCTGTGAGCTAGGCTGACGCCACGGCACTCACTCTAGCCTGGGCAACAAAGTGAGACTCTGTCTCAAAAAAAAAAAAAGAAACTTATAAAAAGAAGAACAAATTAGAAAGCAAGTAGAGGAAAGAAAATAAACATAACACTAAAAATTAATGAAATAACTTAAAATATAATAAAATCAAGTAAACCAAAATTTGTATCTCTGAGAAGATCAATAAAACTGATAAACATCTAGCCACACTGCTCAGGAAATGGACAGAGAGAAAGCAAGATAGTGGTATCACAAATGAGTAAGGTGACATCGTCAGTGAGGACATGGATATAAAAGAAAAAAAGTGAATTTTATTAACAACTTTATGTCAATAAACTCAATGACTGAGAGAAACTGTCAAATTCCTTACAAGGTGCAAACTACCAAAGCTCACTCAAAAAATATACAACCTGGATACTCCTATATCTATTAAAGACACTGAATTAGTAGTTTAAACCTTCCAAAAGGAAAACACTAGGCCATTTCACTGGTGAATTTACCAGTAAATTCCACCAAACATTTAAGGATGGAATAATATGTATTCTACAAAAATTATCACAGAAAACTAAAGAGGTATAACTTACTTTCCAATCCATTTTAATGAGGGCACAAGCATCCTCACAAAGACATACGAAAAGGAAATTACAAACCAATTTCTCTCATGAAGACAAATGCAACAATTCTTGAAAAAAATTTTAGCAAATCTAATCCTACAATATATAAATAGGATTATACGTATCATGACAAAGTATGGTCTAACTCAGAAATGCAGGCGTACTTTATAATTTAAAATCCAATCAATGTAGTTCAATATATTAAATTTAAAAATATAGCCGGGCGTGGTGGCTCACGCCTGTAATCCTAGCACTTTGGGAGGCCGAGGCGGGCGGATTGCTCAAGGTCAGGAGTTCGAAACCAGCCTGAGTGCGGTGGCACGTGGCTTTGGTCAGTCCAGGGTCATTCTCCCCTCCTCTTCTTCACACTGGCTCTTTTGCCTGATTTTTAAAGTAGGTTATTTGCCTTATTATTGAATTATATAAAAGTTCTTGGTGCATTTTGGATAATAGCTTCTTATCAGATATGTGATTGCAGATATTTTCTTCTAGTGCTTGCCTTGTCTTTCTCACTTTCTTAATATTGTCTTACAAAGCAAAAATTATTTATTTATTTATTTTTTGAGACAGAGTCTCGCTTTGTTGCCTAGGCTAGAGTAAGTGCCATGGCATCAGACTTGCTCACAGCAACCTCAAACTCCTGGGCTCAAGCCATCCTCCTGCCTCAGCCTCCTGAGTAGCTGGGACTACAGGCATGCGCCACCATGCCCGGCTAATTTTTTCTATATATACTAGTTGGCCAATTAATTTCTATTTTTAGTAGAGATGGGGTCTCGCTCTTGCTTAGGCTGGTTTTGAACTCCTAACCTGGAGCAATCTGCCCAGCCAGTATTGATTTTTGATGAAATCTAATTTTCAGTTTTCTGTTAGGGATGATCCTTTTGGTATCATATTTAGCAATCTTTGTCTAACCCAATGTCTTAAAGATTTACTTGTGTGCTTTCTTTGAAAAGTTTTATAGTCTTAGCTTTTACAGTTAGGTTTCTGAATATATTTTCAATTAGTATTTATATATGTTGTGACATAAGAGTCTAAGTTCATCTTATTGTTTGTAGATATCCAGCAATTTCATGACCATTATTTGAAAAGACTGTCCTTTCTTTACAGAATTTCCTTACCATCTTTGTTGAAAATGAACTGACTATAAGGATAAAAGTTTATTTCTGGACTCTCAAGTCTGTTTGATTGACCAATATCTTTGTTTCTGTAGCACGTTGTCCTGATCACTGTAGTAGTTTTCGAATCTGGCAAAGGAAGTCCTCTAAATTTGGAATTTTTTTTTTTTTTTTTTGAGACAGAGTCTCTGTTGCCCAGACTAGAATGCCTTGGAGTGAGCCTAGCTCATAGCAACCTCAAACTCCTGGGCTCAAGCGATCCTCCTGCCTCAGCCTCCTGACTAGCTGGGATTACAAGCATGCTCCACCATGCCTGGCTAATTTTTTCTATATATTTTTAGTTGGCCAATTAATTTCTTTCTATTTTTAGTAGAGATGGAGTCTTGCTCTTGCTCAGGCTGGTTTGGAACTCGTGACCTTGAGCAATCCTCCCATCTAGGCCTCCCAGAGTGCTAGGATTATAGGCGTGAGCCACCGCACCTGGCCCCAACTATCCTTTTTAAAATAAGTTTTAAAATTGTGTAGTGGAAAGTCTCCTATTTCATTACTTTTCAAAATTATTTTAGGTATTTTGCATCCTTCCCATTTAAAATCATCTTGCCATTTTCTGCAAAAATGCCTGCTTGGAATTTGATAGAGATTGCACTGAATTTATACATCATTTTGATGAGACTTTTGTTCATAATATATTGCATTGTCTAATCCCTGAATAAGGGTTTCCATTAATACATCTCCTTCAATTTCTCCAAGCAATATTTTGAAGTTTTTAATGTATAAATCTGTCTTCTTTTGTAATTTATTAAGTATTTTGTTCTTTTTGATTCTATTCAGAATGGAATTTTCTTAATTTCAGTTTATTGCTAGTATATAGATATACAATTGATTTTTGGACATTGATCTTTTATCCCTTTACTGTCTAAACTTTGTTATTTGGAATAGTTCTGTTGTGGAATTCTTTGACTAAGGATTTAAGGATTCTGTAATAGAACTGCAAATAGGATCATTTCACATGCAAATAAAAACAATTTACTGCCTAGGACTCCTAGTACAATGTTGAATAGAAGCAATGAAAATGGGACTTCTTGTCTTATTCCCATCTTCTGGAGAAAGTATTCAATCTTTCTTCATTAAGTATTATTTTAACTATAAGTTTTTTTTGTTTTGTTTTTTTTTTGGAGACAGAGTCTTGCTCTATTGCCCACGATAGAGTGCCAGTGCCGTAATGTTAGCCTAGTTCACAGCAACCTCAAACTCCTGGGCTCAAGCAATCCTCCTGCCTCAGGCTCCGGAGTAGCTGGAACTACAGGCATGCGCCACCATGCCCAGCTAATTTTTCCTATATCTTTTTAGTGGTCCGCTATTTTCTTTCTGTTTTTAGTAGAAACAGGGTCTCACTCTTGCTCAAGCTGGTCTCAAACTCCTGGCCTCCAGCGATCCTCCTACCTCGGCCTTCCGAGTGCTAGGATTATAGGCCTGAGCTACCATGCCCAGCCTAGCTATAAGGTTTTATTATTGTTTTGTAGATTTCTTTTATTAGGTTAAGTAAGTTCTTTTTCATTTTTAGTTTTTTTGAGAGTTTTAAAGTCTTGAAGAATGAATTTAAAGTTTTGAATTTAGCCAAATGCTATTTCTATGTCCATTGAGGTGATAATATATATATATATAGTATATATAATAGTATACTTTTTTTTTTTTTTTTTTGAGACAGAGCTCTACTTTGTTGCCCAGGCTAGAGTGAGTGCCCTGGCGTCAGCCTGGCTCACAGCAACCTCAATCTCCGGGGCTCAGCGATCCTACTGCCTCAGCCTCCGAGTACGCTGGGACTACAGGCATGCGCCACCATCGCCGGCTAATTTTTTGTATATATATTTTTAGTTGGTCAATTAATTTATTTCTATTTTTTGTAGAGACGGGGTCTCGCTCAGGCTGGTTTCGAACTCCTGACCTTGAGCAATCGCGCCGCCTCGGCCTCCCAAAGTGCTAGGATTACAGGCGTGAGCCACCACGCCCGGCTATATTTTTATAATTTAATATATTGACTACATTGATTGGATTTTAAATTATAAAGTACGCCTACATTTCTGGGTTAACCATACTTTGTCATGATACGTATAACTCTTTATATTTGTAGTTAGATTGTTTGCTAAATTTTTTTCAAGAATTGTTGCATTTGTCTTCATGGAGAGAAATTGGTTTGTTTTCCTTTTCGTATGTCTTTGTGAGGATGCTTGTG